GCTCCACATGAATGCTGTTAAAAACTGAATAATTCTATACTTGTGTGAAAGCACCCTTATACTAACTGGAAATTCGGTATGAACGGTAGCTTCACATATAAAGTGTATTTGATTGTGTATAAATTACTAACACCATACAGAGTACAAATAGGTAAAGAAGGCACAACAGTCAGCGCCATCTGTCGTGTAAAAAATGCGATGGACGTGCGAAGACGACGACGACGACGACGACGACGACGACGACGGACCTGAAATAAAATCTTCTCGTTCGCCATGTGAATACGTCCTGACCCCGTACACGAATCGTATTGAATTTGGTGGCAATCAATTCAGAAACCTTGATTCCTACAGTGAATGTATTAATAAATTTTTCTCACATACAGCCGTTCATAAGATATTTGAGTCGAAACACAAGTACAAGAGATGCTTCGAGTAAAGAGTCTCGGCGGGCCGTGCTACGTACGGCGGGTTGCCTGTACTTGGCGCGAGACTCGACAGAGTCTCTTGATATCGAAAATTCAGCCAGTCTACCATTTTCAGAGCGCACTGAGCTTCCCTTATCGCGAATCTTTCGCCGTAGTCAATTAAACGTACCAAGAAATTATAGTCCAACGAGAAATCAAGCGCGGTCCGAAGGAGTAAAAATCAAATTTTTAAAAAATTACCCGATCGACGTGTGTAATCACTGGTCGCAATTATACGACAGTCATGCATCGCACGTCGATAACGAAAAAAAAAAAAAAAAAAAAAAAAAAAAAAAAAAGACGATAGCATCTGGAGTAAAACGTTCCCATATGAGTAACGCACACGAGAGCACACGCACGGGGCTCTCGAAGGCAGGAAATTTTGAGAGAGTGAGAGAGGACGACAGGAGGATGAGAGGGATACGCAACACCGGATATCCTCCAGACGACGCCCACGCATAGCGCACGAGTGCGTGAGTGCACGAGAGTCCCATCCAACCGAGAATCACCCTCTCGTCTACGGGGATTGAATACCCAGGAGGCAGCCATCCTGGCCGCGTCTTACTCCGATCCCATATCGATATCCCCAGGTACGTGGACCTGGTCTGGCCCATAAGACGCAGGGACCCGTAAGGACACCAGTGACCGAATGTGATCACAGGGAAGAGGACTCCGACCAACGTGGTACCAGTCGCCGAAGTGACTATTGATTGACGACCATTAACTTTTCCCATGACTTCCAGGAAGACAGATACCCGGGTTACAAACTCCGACTACGACGCAGAACTTCCTGACTAGTTTATCAATGAACACCGCGTGTGACATCACGTGTTTACGACCTGGCTCTCGTTCACTAGCCAAGCGTCTGGCTAAATGGCCGCTTACATTGCCGCTTACGGCACCCAGTTTCTATCCTAGTGCGAGACCCGTAGTCAGATACGTCCGAGGGGAGTGCAGGATGTGTGAGTGAGGAGCGAGGGAGGAGAAGGAAGGGATATGGGTGGGGATAGAAGAGGGAGAGGGGAGAGAGAGAGAGAGAGAGAGAAGGAAATAAAGAATACCGCGTGTATAAGGAGGTAAGGATGATAGGTTAGGTCGATCACTTTATAGGGACAGGAAGAGAGTAAAAAGAAAAAAAAGAACAATTTTTTAAAGGTCCCAAAGGAGGATACAGGACGAGGAGGACGAAAGGAACGGGAAGGTGGTTATGGGACTCCTTGCTGTCGTGGAGGACGGCACGAAACTCGTGGCTCGCAGGTAACCGACTCCAGCATCTTTTTATGAATCTCCCCTCCATCCCTTCTCGCTACTTCCTTCTCCCTCTCTCTCTCTCTCTCTCTCACTCACACACACACGATAGAACGTTTCTCTCTACCGCTATGTGCTCGCTCGCTTCTATGGCGGCTGGCTGCTCACGGGAGACGGAATGTGGACGCCATATGGC